GAAATCTCAAATTCAATCCATTTAATTGGACCAAACTGCTGTCACTGTCAAAATGAACAGGCAGCTGATTATAAACTGTGACTGAAGAGACCTGGGATTTTGTATGAAAGAAATTACAAAACTCAGTAACAAATATAAACATGCCCCCCCTCACCCCTCACCCCTCTCTCCCTTGCCCCACACATGTATAACAGCAGCCATCATCTGACCTGGCCATTCAACTGCTGTCAGCACCACTCACTCCTTCAACTCAACACATCCATCTGTGTCTGAAAAAGGAAGCAGTAATGAAACCAACATGGTTAATGTTGGATGCAATTTTAATACAACAGGTCAGTGTCACAGTGACCTGTTTCCACATGGCTGACAAAATGAAAACTGAAAACAAGGTCAGGGGCCAACAGCCAACAATAACTTGTTCCTCTATGTTCACTAAATTCACTGATTATTTGCATCAACTGAAGATAGAGACTGTGTTCCTATCAAATGTCCTTTTATTTTAAGAAACGGAAAAATCCGATGAAGCTAGATGGAAATCTGTGGCAAAGGCTTCCATTCAAGGTCGGTTAGAAATTTGAAGTTTGCTCTGATTTCACAGTAATGAATTCCTTTTTTAGGGTTGAAAAGACACCTGTCCATAAACCTTTGCACTGACCTTTGTGTTATGCATCACCTGTTGCCGTGAGAGGCGGGATTTAAACTTCTGTGACAGCCTCAATAAATAAAATGTATTTCCAGACTGTGGTTCAAACGTCTGTGAAGGCTGCAGAAACGACCAAGGCCTGGACGTCTGAAATAGAGCCTGCGGGAATCACATGTCTATTCCCAGCAGCATTCTCACGCACAATGACATGCAATCGTGGTCAAGATGTAGCAATGTATTCACGATTCAACGTTTATTATGTTTTGGTCCAGTCACATATGAGCCTTGAATGGGTTCTGATATATACACGTAGGCAATGTGCTACACAGGCTGGAAGCTGTTTTCCCTTTGCAGAAATCATATAACAACAATGATTTGGTTTCACTCAAGCAGATAATTAGTCAGAGATGTAGCTTTGAATGACTACCAATAAAATGATGACTTTACAAGGAACAACTTTTACTGGCGTAAATTATATTTATTTTATCTGGATTAATTATGATTTAAAGTAAGAACAGGTGATATGAGCATCATATGACTCTGACTTTCCTTTATCTCCTTAATTTACTTTTCTTCATACATTTGTAACAGGACTTACAGAAACTAAAGGATTTAGTTTGACACATACTGTGTATTTATAGTACACACATACTTCATGTATACATCCATAGGATTTCCCACTGAACTCACTGAACTCCTGCATTGATACTTTCAGCTGTTCTGTCTGAGGGGTAACTACGGTGCATAACCCACAGCATGACACAGATGAAATGTCGCCCTTATGTAACATTAAATATAAATGAGGGGGGGTGGGGGTGTGTGGTGTAGGCCATCAAACCTCCCCACATAAATGAGGGGGGGTGTGGTGTAGGCCATCAAACCTCCCCAGGGACACATCGGCATTCAAACCTTGAACTCTGGGCCCGATACAAACATGTACCATGTATTGTAATGTACCAATGTGTTGAGCTGATACTCCATAACAACTATTCTCTACAGTCAAAAATTTGTGAACAGAGCAAACTGAGGGCACATTTGAAAGGAACTTGTTCTAGTTCTTAGTTGCAGTAGAAAAATAAATTCCCCTCAAAGAACCTTTATAAAAGTGTTTGGACTTAAAGAATAAAGTTTTTTCCAAGGTCTTTTTTTCCATGGACTAGACACAGTCTAGTTCTGCCACAGTTATGACCAGAAATCTACCCAGTTCCCTGAGACTCCTTCTAAAAATCACTGGAGTTCCTCTGTAAGGTCAACGACCTGCAGGGTGGTGGCTGCACATGTGCTCCACCAGGTCACCTTCAACCTGTCTTGTTTGTATTTCAGTAAAGTGAGACGGGTCAGCATGTCACGAGAAAGTCACAGGCTGCGGCACGTCATCAGCTAAAGTCACTCATGTAGTTGACTCTGTGAAGACAAGGACTTTGGAGGGTGGGGTCAAAGGTCTACAATGACTTATTATTATTAAAAAACGATGCTACGACATACTGCTGCAGTTACTATCTTAACTTAACTACATGCAAGCAACTGATCTTTTTCAGGAAAAGTTTGGCTCAGTTCCAGGGAAACTATGTTTTGTTTTTTTATCATTCAGCTGACCTTTAGCTATACTGTAAATATTTTTGGGCTTACTCATCAGCGTTTTGCTTTTTAGGCAGTTTATGTAGGACACAGAAAGAACACAAAAGCATGTGCTGTGTTATAAAAAAATACTAATTAAAGCTATTAATCTGTTTAACTCCCATTATAGGGGAAAACTAACTCTAATTAGATATTTTAAGATTACTGATCCAGGACCAAAGATACTTGTTTTGCTATGTGTTTGTTGCATACTTAACTTTATATAACAGAGACTGAAGAGCTGATTCTCAGAAGTCAGGAACATTTCTGTATTTCCCCTGTTCCTAACATTCCAACATCAGCATGTCATCCCTGTTTTGTGCAAATTACTGTTGAATCCTGTTCTGACACAAGTCAATCGATGCACTTCTATGATATAACAACCACAGAGCCTGTAGGATATATGGAACTCTGTGCTGCTGAAACCAAAATCTCAGTGAGGCTGGAATCTTTCCAAACATTAACACACCCCCTCCCTCCCCCCTTTGCATTAGTATAGGCTACATCCAATCATGTACACTGCAACTGGCCCACAAAGTTTGACCCACTTTCAGAGTGGCTAAAGTTAGTCTTTGGCCAAGATCAGAAAGGCCAGTTTTAGATAGCAAAGGTCTTAGTAAAACATATTTTTACTCTCACAGTAACAATACAGTAAAGAAAAAAATTAAAAACACTAATCACATGTATACAATCGGTCAAACTGACTGCAATATTTCACAGCTTTGTTTTATCTGTTGCTTAATTTTAGAACCAAAGTGTTGGTGTCTGTATATTTTAAATGGTTACTTTAACTGTTTATCCTCTTACTTTCAAGTATTTGTTTACTAGCCGTTCAACGTATTATTATAGCGCAACAGTGAGTATGATTTCTTCACAAAAAACAATTCCTTTTAACAGGTCACTTTCAATTTTACTCAATTTTACTTAAGGTATTTGTCTACTGACGTGTATCAAATATAATCATTTTATTACGCAGTTCCTCATTGTTATTTCTACTGGCAGCTGCTATGTTTCTTTATTTCTTTAAACACTAACTTTCACCGTGTATTTTTTACTCTTCTTTCCCCCGTCTACTCAGCTCCTGTAACGCGGGCGAGTTCCCCATTTTCTCTACATTTAAATCTATTTGGAGAATTATGGACTTCTATTTTTCAAAAGCAACTTTATTTTTAATATCTCTGTCACTGACTGCGCTTCTAGCCTACTGTATATATTTAGTCTGCGCGCGCATGCACACGGACACGAGCAGCAGCATCTCACGTTTCATGGTCGTGGCTTAACGTAGTGCGTTGTTTCAAGCCGCGCCTAAACTCGTCCTGGTGCCATTTACAGAAATATATGAGATTTCACATGTCTTACCTGATTTCCACAGCCACACACGTGCACAGATTCATATCTTACACACACATATATACGTATGCATACAGAAGAGTTAAAATGGGGTGCAGAAGAGAAGAAAACGCACGTGTGCTCTACGGCGTGGTGCGCTTTAACTTTTACGCACGGACGGAAACGCTTGGCTTCCCCGCTCTGCAATTCGTGCGTAAAAGCTGCGAAACGCACATTTGTCCAGTGCATTCTGTAATGAATGTTATCAAACACCCTATCAACTCCTGTTTGCATGCATTATACAGCGTGATTTTGCAGCAGATCCTTACCTTGGAGAGACGCTGCGGCGGCGGGTGAAGTAGTGCTCCGAGAGAGTGAGTCTATCAGGGGTCTTATAAACCACAGCGGCGTGGACGCGGAGCTGTCGATAAAGCAAAAAGTCTTTGTCTGAAGGTAGTTGGGAGAAGTTAAAAGTCTTGGCTAAGTGGGTTCCTATGGGTGGGAGGGGGGATACACACCAATGACCCCGCCTACCACGAACGTGAAGCAGCAGCCATAACCAACTTCCCAAAGTGGTAACGGGGCAAAATCTGCTGTCCCGAAGTCGTTACAGTAACGTCAGACAGTGTTACACCCTTTCATAATAGAACATGATAGCAGGAAAAAAAACTTTACTTTCAAAAGTACCTGGAGTTTGCACGAAGGCCTTGCATTCATTCATCTTCGACTGCTGAATTCTTTACATGGTCGCAGGAAGGTGGAGGGGTTGGGGGGAATCGAACCAATGCCAGCAGTCGTCGGAGGAGGGCGGGGTGACATCCTGGACAGATGACCAGTCCGAGACAGGGTCATATACAGAGACTAACAACCATTCATACTTACATTCATACACGTGTTTCATTTTAGAGTGAGGTACTAACCTAGTCCTGCACGTTTTTGACTGTGGTAGTAAACCCAAGGACACACGGGGAGAACGTGCAAAGTGCCCCGGGGCTGAGCCAGCATCCTTCTCACTGTAAAGGAAAAGCATTAACTTGTCCCTCCACCATTTTATTTAATTACGTCAAACCCAAGTGCAGATACATACATTCATATAACACCTCGACAATTTCACCTTTGGACCAGAAAATTAATTCTGACATTAAAGTTTTTCTCATGTCTTCCATGTCAACAAATCATCTTCTGCCCATTGTCCAACACACCAAACCAAATCAACATTGTCTCTCCATCTTCCTCCCCCAAACACCAGCAATTCCTCTGATCTACTCAGGTCTAACTTTTCATTATAATAACGCCCCCCAACCCAAGTATTAGGTCAGTAGTTATAGAATTACTGAAGTTCAAAACCAAGGTGACCACTGAGCATATCGTCTGCATAGTGCTGCATTTTTACAGTGTTTGTAGCAATGCTATCAACATGGTGTTTACTTAACAAGTGCATGTTTTTCACCAAGTCATTTTGCAGCAACAGATTAACAGGCTTTCCTGTCTTGTCATATTAATTGGAAAAGGTTGATGTCAATTTTTCAAATTTATCTTTTATTCACAGGCAAACAGAAAACCTAAATAAGTCCCACAAAGGCTGTCATCTCTTGATCAGCGAAAAGGTTTTTTTTTGTAAAGGATGGGGGAATTGTACAATTAAGCGAGGTTTAAAGGGCGAATATGCAGTCAGTTTGTCTTTTTAGAATAGTTTTTGGCACACTTAATTCTGGGAGTGTTCAAACAGACGTCTAAAGTAAATCAAAAAATTTTGAAAAACAAATGCTTATGAACACGAATAAGTTATCCTTTTAAAATACTGCCAGCATATAATAAAACTGTTTGGAGCTGACAACAGAACTTTTATTTCAGCATTAGTCCTTTGTTGAGTGGTGCATCAGCGTGTTTCTGTACAGTTTTTACAATATTTACAAGTGTTTTATTACCTTGTGGTATCAGTAAATTGATCTGGTTTCACAATGTTTTGTTTTAAAAAAGGACTCTGGCCACATGTCAACTATGACAAGGCTTCCAGAAGTGGTTTGATGTCTTTAAAACCAAACTCTGCTGCCACTGACATGATGTGGTCCAGGGCCTTCATGTAGCCAAGCATCCTGACAACTTCTTTGACTTGATCCCTGTGGGTGAATTGAAATGTGCGTTACATCCAAAACAATTGCAAAATTCACTCATTTAAAGTTAACAAAACTTAATCGAGCCTCTTACTTCACACTGTGTCTCTCCAGGTCAGAACCACTGACACTGCTGCGGTGAAGTGTGTTTGCAAGGTGACCCAGATATCGACACAACGGCTCCAACTGAGGCAACGTCTGCTGGGCCTTCATCCCAAGGAACCAATGCTGCGGCAAAACCTCCACTACCTGAAAACAGTAAAGAGAAAAGTTAGAACGCTAACTCCCAAGATGTCGTCCACAGATGAGTAGCTCCAAAAACAGCTGACCTTCTGACACTTGTGAACATTCTCCTCTGCTGTGTCCGTGGTCTGTAGTGCAGACAGAATGTATCTGTTCAGTGTGCTGTCCAAAGCCAGGTCCTTCAGACAGGAAGTGGATAAGATACCATCCCACTGCAGGATGTTTCCCAACAGCTGCACAGAGTGGGAATAATAAGAATAATTTAACAACATCCAGTTCATATCATTAATCAGGCAGTTTGTTGTAGGCTTAACTGGATTTGTTGGAAAAGAATGACAGTGTTATCAAACATTAGCACCACCTAATGGTCAAGACAATTATCTTTTTTTTTTAACTTTCTACATAGCACCAGAACCTTCATTTTCACTTTAACCTAAAAAGTAACATATACTTCATCATTTTATTAAACATTCTAAATAAAGACATGGTAAACATGACAGCATTTGACACAAACTATAAACACAGATCAGAAATAAATATATACATATTTTGCTACCACTCAGCCATTTTCTAAGGCGGTCCAGCTACGACCAATTTTTTTATCTGATTAATCATGAATAACTGTGCAGAATCAAATTAGTAATTATTTACAATTAATCATGATTATTTTAGATAAATAAACATTCCTAAATATGTAGGAAATATTTCAGACAGAGGACCACAAACCTTCACACAGGACCAAAACTGCCTCTGGTAAAACAAGTACGGTCCACTGTTCTTGTTGTCCAACACACTGAGGGAAGCAAAAGGCATATGTTTAATCCAACATCAGAAACAAAGAAAAAAATGCATGTACACATGGGCTACACACTTTTTGGGGTAGAGTGGAAGGAAAACATCTTCATCCAAAGTCCGCCTGGTTCGTAGGACGATAGATTTTAATAGCTCCTGGAAGAACAGGGGAAAGTTTTTCCATTTAAGAACTGTGCTTTTTTTTAACAGGTGGAAGTACAACATGGGTATGCAGGCAGTCTGAAAACAAGTGCAGTACCTGTGTGTATTGATTGTCCCCATGCAGCACAGTGGGGTAACCTTTCAAGAGTCTGCGAATGAAGCTCACCAGTCTGGCTGTTTGATTGGTGGACAGTGGGTCCCACGCCTGCTCCACCAACACTGACATATGAACAAACAACAAACATAATTTCAATTGACTTGCTGCAGTCTGCACTGACTTGAGCTGTTAATCGCAGCCAGTCTTTTTGTGTGTGGGTCACTGAGTGGTGTTTGCTACCTTTTAGTTTGGACAGGATGACCTTTTCCACAATGGCAGGCAGCAGACCAATATCTCCATCGTCTTTCTGCAACGCAATGTTCTCCTCAAAGCCATAAAACAGCAGTGACTCAAACCAGAGCATGTACTCGAAGTTTGCACACTGTGCCTGCACAAAGTGAAAAACAAGGGGAAATTATTTAAGAGGTATCTCACATGCTACAATCAGCTGTGTTTTTCTTGTGCAGGGTCTTCACTCTGTTCATTATTAAGCAGTGATGATGGTGGCGGAGGTGGTGGTAACAGCGCTCTAATTGATTATTGCCACCCTTCTTCAAAACTGAAGACTCTCAATACCCCTCATGTTGCCACACTAGTATGCTAATTAACAAACATCCAAGTGTGTTTAAACCTGCAGGGCAGTGGTCAGATCATCAACAAACAATGTCACAAGTTATTGTAGCCAAAAAGTTCAACACTCATACGGCATTTGATCAGGATTTTTCACTTTCATGTGATCAATATTCAAATCAAAACAAAAGTTATTTCATTTTTGTGTTTAGACTTTAATGGAGAAAACTGTTTTGCAATTTTGATGAATAACATTTTTTTCTTTCCTTTTCTTATGTGATGAATATAGGTGTTGTACTGTGGATTTTGAATTTAATAACATCAACAAACAGTTGAGACACTACTGTGCGAAAGCACCAAGTACAGGTTAATCCCGCTGTCCAAACGCCTTCTGCCTGAGGATCAATAGTGGTATCTCACCTCCAGTGGGCTCCAAGTAATGAGCTGCAGCCGGACTAAAGGGCTGAAAAGTTTGGGCAGACAGAGGCCAATGTAGGCGTCTCTGTATGAGTCGGGAAAATCCCTGCGCCACACTTCGAAACGAGATTTTATGAAGTCCAGAGAATGAAAGTCGTCCACCACGTCTTCAAATACTTTCTTACATTCTCTGCTGATTCGTTCTGTAAGAGACATGTGCAATCAGCCCTGAGATCGAACGATTAAAAAAAATCTAACAAGAAAATTAATTTGTTAATTTAAGCCACAACACATCAGACCTTTTTCCATGTTGAAGCTGGTGATGTCCGTAGATGTTTCCTCATCATCAGAAGATAGCCCTTCTTTGTGTTCGGCCCTTTTTCCATTCTGCTCTCTAGCTTGTCGCCTTCGAGTTCTGCAAATACAACACCCACACACAGATTTCCTTTACTTACCTGTTACTGTATTATTTCTTCTCAATACTTGAAACACACACACACAAAAAAGTTTCGTACCGTCGTGCTTCTCTCTCTGCTATCCTCCTCTGACGACTGTGTTCTTGGTATGCAGCACGATCTCGACCAAAGGAATCTAAGTTAGGAGCCATGACAGCTTTATCTGCAAGAGAGAAGTGGCATTTCAGAGGCAGCAAAGAAACATCAAACACCCAGTAAACAGATCTGATTCAAGAATATTAACATTGTCTAAAATTTATATTATGAATTTGATAATCAATGTAAAATCAGCTAAAAGTAAAAAAAAGGTTTGACCTGGATTATTTTCTATTATACATCAACATTTTTTTAAACATTTTGTTACATTTCATTCTCTAGTCACTTACCTGTCTGCAAATCTCTACATGTGAATGTAATGGAAGACATGACACTAATGTGTTTGTCATCTTTTTACTCAGTGACTGGCTGCTTGCACTGAGAGTACAAGCCACCAGCTGACTGAGAGGAAGAAAGGAGCTCAGGAAGCTCCTTTAATAAAACATCTCCAAAATCAAGCACTACCTCACTCACTCAGACTAACATCTTGTTTACTCTTTATCACATCAATGACAGAAATATTAGAAAGGCAAAAGACACATTCAGATACACACAAGCGCACACACACACACTTACAGAAATCTAACAAGGCCGTTCAAATAAATCATAAAAACCTTCAAGATGGACTGACTTGAAAGGCTTGCAAACTCCGACGATTCATCTTTTATATCATCCTGTCTTCTCTGGACAAGCCGTGAGGTCCGTTGCCTTAGTAACTGGTGCATGGCAGCCTCCAGCTCCAGGATGGCAGGAACCTGAAAAATATGATGCCTTCTGTGACCTCTGACCCAAACAAAAGTGGGGCTCCGAGGCACAGGGATGTCTTGCTGGAGCAGGATGGACAACAAAACACTAGAACCATAATATTGTGAGTGTCAGGTGAAAACCAGGACTTTTTTTTTCAATGTCTATAATGTACTGAAGTTGGGGATTGAGGCGTTGAAGCAGCTAAACCAAGGTTAAGTCACTGTTATAGTCAATGAAGTTGAATCGAGTGGTTTTGACCCATCACTGACAGCATTTAGTCCTGGTCATAATGTTTATGCCGTAATAATGGACTCCACTGAGATGATAATGGACGGCTGTTGTCTCGTGCACTGAGAACTGCCTGAATGAAACAGACAGTCAGACTGAGGAAACGCGTTGGCAGCTGAAAGTCTGCCACACATAAATGCTGTTCTGCAGCTGCTGAATTAAGAAAATGTTATTTTATTCAGGCAAACATTTGATTTACAGCTATAAAAATAGACACACAATCATAATGTGATTTCACATAACTGGACTCTTTTAAATAGATCGGAGTGTGTGTGAATTAACAGCAACACAAGCATGTTTTGGTGTGAAAAATCAACTTGTCTTGCAGTAACCAGTGAAACAGTTTAAACAACAGTAAATGTAAAAGGATCAAATACAACTAATGATGTTTTTTTGGAAATTCATGCAAAAATTAAAAGAAATAGCTGTGATTCCACCATATTGTACAAACATCACCAATTTGCTGCTTAAGATAAACTTAGGACATTTTTGGATTTTGAATTGTTCAGAGTCTAATGATTCAACTTTAAAGACCACAATAAAAGTTCGAATAGCATGTACACAAAACTGGCTAGTCAGGCGACAAACTTATTCTCTCTTACCTTTTCACTGAAACACTCAAGCAAGTCTCCAACATACCCTCGCATCTCTTGCAAGAATTTGTATTTTTCTTCATTGTCATTGGAAGAGCCCTCCAACTGCTGAATGCTATTCTCAGAGGAAGCAAGGTCGTCGTCGATTTGTCTGAAGTGCTTGGAGTTTGCCTGGTGGCCTGCACGCATGTGGCTGAGTCTACAGGCACACGACATACAGGAGAGCACATTAAAAAAAATAAGGAACATCAAAGTTTTAGTTTACACAGTGAATGGTTACTTTGGGAGGGATCAAGATATCCCTTTTTACACCCCGATGACAGATTTGTTGAAAAAAATGTTAGTGCCTCTGCCGTCCTCTGCTGACCCTACCTATCCTGCAGGCGTTTCTTTACCAGATCAATTGATACTGGGGGCAGATCAGTGATTTGGGCCCCAAAGTGAACAGAACCATTGTCTGCTCGGCCAGTTGTCTTGGCAGACGTTGGGGCCACTGTGCTATAAGTGAAAGGCATGCTGTAGGAGGCTCCGTATGGCTGGCTCTCGTAGCTGTTCTGGTAGTAAATGGTGGTGTCTTCTGGCTGGGTGGTCTGGACCTAGCAAACCAACACAAAGCGAGGTTATAGCTGGTCAGGAAAAGGGTAAACATCACTATTTAACACTGTTTGATGTTTGGTTTTACCTGTGGTATGCTGATTCCTTTTCTTATCTGCTCCTGCTCCCAGCGGGTCACCTCCTCATCCTGACCTGTGTCCAGTGCCTCATCATCACTACCTTCAATACCTGTAGGTAGAAAGTTGGTGTCCACTTTACCATTTGTTTAAAGGTAATAACATTTATTCTGTGTCCAGCCAGCAGAGTAGTAGTACCTATCTCTTCAGCTATCTTTTGTCTTTGGCTCTTCTTTTTGACACCACTAAAGCGAATCCTCTTCTCTGCCTCATCTTCGTCGTCACTGACATCTTGATCTTCTGATGCATGACGTTTCTTGGGAGCTTCTGCCTCAACCAATGGTGCGTCACCTCCTAGTTCCCTGGCTAACTGTCGTCGCTTTCTGGCAGCATGGATGAAAGCTGCATCAGGAATTTCTCCTAGAGACAAGGAACATGTGTAGGAGAGGAGTCCAACTTTGTGACCAACTCAAGGTGGAAAATATACACTGGTCACTAAAAACATTAGGCAAGCAGTTACTTCTGAAAATGAAAGCTTCATACCTGGTCTTAGATTACCGAGGGAGGACAGTGTGTTGAAAGCAGCTCCAGGGTTGTTGCTTTTGGACATTTGACTTTGTGCTTGACCAGCTTGGTTCCGTCCTGTGTCGTTCTGCTCATCATTACTATCCACCTCCATTTCCTCCTCCCCCTGATCACTTCCTGTTTTGCTAATGACTTCCTCTTTGATGGAAACTAGTGGCAGGAGTGGTGCATCTTTGAAAAAAATAAATAAATAAAAGAACAATTGAGACCTAAATTTAGATGGTTTTACATTGACATGACACATAATGTCATTACACCTGGAATCTGGAATAACTCTGTACTTAAGTTAATAAACCTAAACAGGTATGTTTGCATGTAAAAAAAATTAAGAAGCATTTATAAAGTAGCAGCAAACCTGAAATGAAGTAAATTTAATTACACACGGGACATAGAGATGTAAACAACGCAAAGAAAATGAAAGGGGCCAAACAGAGTGGTCAGCATTACTGTATAGTGGTGGAATGAATGACAACACAAGGTAAGTATTTTTTTAATTTACTAGCACCACATCCTTAATTACAGATTAACATTAGTGCAAATCAATTTGAGTTCCATCTCTGGGTAACACTGCAAACAAATAGAACAGAAATGTGATGCATCACAATCACATGAATAGTGTGCCTACCTGATTTGCTATCTGGTCTGGTGATTTCAGTCTTCTCCAAATCTTCCTTATATTCCCTCTTTAGTTGTTTCACAATCTTCTTGCTGTGAGTGGATTTTTTCACTTTGAACACCTCTAATCCCTCTGTTTATAAACAGTACCAAAAGAGACAGTGGGTGAAACACATTGCGATTTGTGGTAACGCTAGACCTGTTTAGGTTATAAGAATATATGATAGAGAGACAGGGGTTGAAAGGTAAGCAGCATACCTTGTCAACAATCAAATATCATCCTAGCTATCTAGCTATTATAGCATAGGTTTTAGCCTGTTACCTTCTTCGTCGTCGTCGAAACTCAGCAAACTGCCTTTGGTCGGTCCTAGCACCACAGGTATATCTTTGACTTTCTTTTCCTTTTTAAATCCTCGAATTATGTTAGTGTTTGACAGAAAGCCGTTGCTGTGTGTGCTATCAGTGTGGTACTGTGCTGAAGCATTGGTGGAAGTCTCCATGAACGGGATTTCCTCCACCACAGGCCCAAACGATGTGGGCGCCAACGGCGGCCGCTGGCCCTCCTCCTGCTCGTCTTCGTCGGATTCATTCCTCCGTCGAATGTTCGCTCGTTTTGCCTTTTTAAACATTGTGCTTCCTCACAAACCCACCAACACGTGCTTTAAAAAATAAGTTGGAGCCAAAAGAAATCATGGACACAACGTCTTGCAGCCATTTTGTTAGACGTCGCCTCTCTTCTTCGCCCGTAACATTTAAAGACAGTGCGGTAGCATCAGCTTGCTAGCGCCCCAATGGGACAAAGGTGGTAAAGCCGCTCATCAGTTCTGACAGATAGATAAACAGATAGATAGACACAAACCCTGGGGAGGATAAAAACATAGTTTAAATTTTGAATATTTTATTTTATTTCACCCACATACTCTTCTCGATTTGAAAAAAAATGTACCTTGTACATATAACTGGGGTGTCATGTAAAATGTAACATGTCTCTCAAGCTTCCTTACACAGCAAATCAAATACAATTCTAAATTCCATAATATACCATGCTTGCTGTGTGTCTGCCTGTAAACTGTTAGATTGAAATAAATCATATGCCTCTTCTACTGGGGACAGATTAGAGGTATTCTGGGCCTATGGCATGATCAGCTTCTTTAATAAATGTCAGACATGTGCGGTGCAGTTAGCCGAGGTCATTACAGAGCCATTACTTGACATGGTGTAGTCAATGCTGTGGCAGTGATAATAACTGCTGAAATTAAAGTGTCCTCACAGATGAAGCTGGAGGGATGTGCTGAAATTAATTAATGTCAAGACGGCTCTTTGCCATAAAAAACAATAATTAGGGGGAAATATCTTCCAGTCAATGGAACAATTAAAATTTTAAAGTCGCGTTTTACATTCATAAAACATTTTCATGAGCACAGAAGAAAAGCGATTTTAAAGCATGTTGCCCAGAATTAATATTTTTTCAGGCACTGTGGCAGCAAAAAATCTCTTTTGATAAATCCACTTTATTACACTTTATTACATCGGCAGTACGTAAGTGGCTCAAGTATCTTTATGTTGATAAAATCCAACAATTATACTACGAAGTACTAAGTGCAGTGCTTTTAATTCTTGATTCCGTGGCGTCAACATGGTTGAATAGACACCACAGAACAGACACATCAGGGATAAAATCAAATCTGTGTTGTTCGCTGGTAACACCTGGTCTGCAGACTTCAGCATGTATGGGACTAATATTGTTCTTACTTTTACTCGGGACTGTGGTCAATTTACTTTAACTCTACCAAACTCTATACAGAATCTCACACAATGAACCTCACAAAAACACCTTTTAAGTTCCACTACAGCACCACTTGGAGGCACTGTTACTCCTTGAAACCGTGGAGCCGCGTCTTTATTTTTGGCCAAGGTGCACTCATAGTTCCCTCATGTTTAAATGCTAATGAAATACAATGACATTTCCTGATCTAGAGAATGTACCTGATACAAGTCAGCATGAATATAGATCAATACTGTTACTCAAAGGTTCCGACGGCTTATTGAATCACTCCTCTCATCACCAAGTAGAAGCCGATGTATGAGTCATTGTCAAACGAAAAACAACTGATTAGTGTGGGCTCTGCCTCGTTATTTATGTAGATGCTTGTGTAAACACATTATAAAGCAAAGAGGGCAGACTGCATGTTTTTTTTTTTTGCCCCCCTCAAGTCCAGCTGTGGGAGCGATGCAACGTTAAATTGCTCCAGAAGGATTCAGGGGACTGTAAAAGTAAAAGTCATACAAGCCAAGGTTTCATTTGCACTGATGGAACAAACATCAGGGTCAAATAACCTGGCTTATTAAATACACACTGTGTGTGTCAGGAGTTAATGAAGATGGAATGAGAATAAAACGTGAGGCGCAGTAATGGAAGGACAAGAGGACGATGCCTCTCGGCGGCCACTTCCGTAGCGCCTATTCATGGTAAGGATCAAATTAAAACGTCAAAATACATCAATATTTATTAAGTGTTGTGCTTAAAGTACCAATCCTACACATGGACTATAAAACCCTAGGTATTTCCTCTTAAAGTTTTAGTCGCATTCTACAAACTGTGAGTTACGTGAGCCAGTTTTCTTTAAAGAGGGATATCTAAATTTGGAGCTTTTCATATTTCCCAGCGTGCTCAGGTAATAGCATCCTTTGAAGACGGATGATTAATGTTATGATACAAGCACACATACAAAGGCACATCAAACCTGACTGCTGTGGATAACTAATTATACTCATCTGGAACAAGGATCTGGATTCACGGAGGTAATTTCACACTATTTTACTCCTCCTCCAGCAGAGCAGGTCTAACTCATGCATGCATGTGCTGGGGCACGTGGCCATGGTTCACCATCAATCACAGAGATGAATCACCTCACTTACTGTCTCTGTTACCAGGGACACAAACAGTTGGGACAGAAATGAAACAAAACGAGCAGATTAACAAGGTCATACTTACAGAGAGTTTGTAACTAGTAGTAGTTTGGTCATTTCCCTCCATTATGTGGTTCCATAGTGTGGGAGTTATCATACATGTCTTACACACCTGCCTCACACACACGCAGAAGGTCTTAAGTTTGATGCCCAGGGGAACCACATACGTCATGGCGCCTCCCATGGCAGCCTGTTTGCATTACAAAGACTCCCACTGTGAATTTCCCCAACTGTTTGTGAAATTAACTGACCGGTCCTGTGATGGACTAGAGAACCATACAGGACGCTGCCCTCTCCTGATGACTTCTGGGATCAGCTCTAACTCCTTGCATGTCTTAAAAAGGTCTGAGCTCTGTGAGATGAAGTGACGGATGAATGGTGATGACCAGAAAGGGTTAAAGAGCAGGTAAATACTGCACCACAGACGTCCGCCGCTACTGTTGGTATATGGAACATAGTATCTTGTGAATACTGCAGTGACCTCCATATCTCTCCTTCATGCATTGGAAACAAGTTGGACATTATCCATTTCATATCTCCCTCCAGCTCCCTTGCGCCTCCCACACCCTCCAGTTTCAGTTAACGCTGCCCCCATCATAAGGAGAGGCAGTTGTCTTCACTGCTGCGGAGAGGAAAGTGACAAAGACTTTGTGCTGGAAAAAGTAAAGTTGTCTTAAAGTACTGTGTCAGCAGCATCACCTCTTCTCTCTTCTCAACCGACTCCCTACCCATCAGTCAAGATAACATCAAAGGCTGATCACAGGAAGACCTTGCTGCCACTACGTAGCCTGTCCTTCTATTCACATCTTCTCCCTCCAGGGTACGTCCACGAGCAGGAGTGTACTCGTTATGAGGATTTAAGAAAACCAGCACACCCTGATCTATGCCCCTGACAGAGGAGAAACAGAAGCATCACTTCAGAGACGGTGGTGAGAACTCGGCTGCTGCTGCACCTGTGAGCAAAGCAAACTTAAGGCTTTAGTCCAAAAAAAAAAAAAAAAAGAGGAGATGAAGGAGATGATGTGCCCGATTAAATAGAACACGAGGAGAAAATAATGATGTTTAAACCCACCTTGAAGCTTCAAACTAGTAAATAAATGATGTGCTCGAGAAGACTCTGGAAACGGCTACACCTGCGGCTCGGTGCTTAAATATTCATTTCCTGCCATAGTAACGCACACTTGAGTGCGTGTATAACTCAGAAGAGCCTGTGTATGTGTGTGTGCGCGCGCGTGTGGGTGATGCACATTGAATTTGATAAATCTGCGTAGCAAGAGACGCTTCTCACAAACTGCTGTCTTCAAGCATAAAAGGGAGAGAAAATTTGGGATATATTTTCGACTTAATGATGAACTCGAAACTCTCTCATTGGAGCACAACACTGCGGAGATGAGACCAAACACGCTGCCTGCTTTTCATCTGCTTCTTTGCTCTCCTTTCACCCCTGCAATGCTCATAATGGTGTTAGGATTAGAGCTGGATGTGTTAGCTAAACTTCTCATTTGACACCAAAGGAGTGCAAATGCAGGAAATAGCATTAGGAAGAATGCGTTGCAAATGAAAGGGAGATGGTTCCAGAAGAAATCTCAACATTAATCTGTAAACTTTTACCAGATTGAAAACTCTGGAATGTGACATCAACAGATGAATTCTGGACAACAGAAGTTGAGGAAAGTTCTGAGACGTTAGTTTACTTTAGTTCTAAATAACAATCACTGTTGAGTGAGTTTTCAATTATTTATTTTCAAAAGCATCAAAAATGTTTCAAAAATGTTTAGGAGTTTGTCCTAAAGGTAATTCTCAGGAGTCTTTTTCAAGTTCTTTAAATTTCTTGCTGAGCTAAAGGTTTTACCCCATTTGCAGTAGGCAAGTCCACATGTCCCGCCTTCTTCTCAGCATAACTCTGATTGGCTCTCATCCTCAATTGTTTTGTTTCAGTTTACACGATGAAATCCGTGCGGCGTAGACTTTGTTTATGCTAGATTTTTTTTGTGTAATTTTTGCCAGGGAACCAAAACATCAACACGCCTGTCATCGCCCTTTGGATATACAGTATTTCAGAACAGAAAGTTCAAATTCAACACTGTCTCCGAGAGCGTTTCATAATGACTTTTTCATTCTTTTAATCCAATTTTGAAAAATTTCTGTACCATATCAATATATCATTGACAAAACAAAATCAGAAATCAGTTGTCAGAGTAAAACCCACTCCCCCTTACCCACAAATTACTACTTGACTATTACCTACTTGATTAAAATGAGCACACTCATTTGGTCACTTTCTCTCTCCACTCCACTCTCCATCAGTGTCCGCTGATTAATCATACTATCTGACTGCTCGTTAGACCATCTCCCGACCTAGTATTGAGCCCCCCCTCCTGCCCCTCCCAACTCTTTCACCAAGACTTCATTTCACTTTTTTTTCCTCCCCCCTTCTGCCTCCTCTCCTCATTTTTTATGCAGTGTATGCTTCACAGACAGTCCTTCAGGGTCTTTTCTCTTCAGTCTGCCTGAGTACAGATATTTCAGCACCTTGATTTCAGAGTAATTACATAAGGATAAATGATGACTCTCCCTGAATGCACCTCTCTGTCAGCCCATCAGGAACAGGCCCTGGGGCACTGCAATCACTCTCTATTACTCTGCAGGAGGGAGTTTGAATCTCCCTGAAGTTTATATGGAAAGACAAAAAAAGTCTCCTTATCTCCTTCTCTTGATTTCAGAGTAATTATATCAGAATAACTCTACCCCTGAATGCTTTTCCTGTCAGGCTGA